GCTTCTTTAAAAAGTTTTTTTTTCACAAAAAAAAAAATTTGGTGGACCAAAAATTTGAGGTTTGGGGGAAACCCCCCCCCCCCCCCACGGCAAAATAACCCTTTCTTCTCCCTTTGGGAAAAAGGTGGGGGGGGGGGGGGGGGGGGGGGGGTAGGTGGGCAGTTTTCCAGAGACCTAAATTGTTCCAAATTTTGCTCAGTGCGAACAGGGCCTTATCAGAATCAAAAGGTCAGACAGTCCAGCAGGCCAGTCGATCAATCTGACAAGTTGAAAGTTTATAGGCAGACAGTCGATCAACCTGAACCGTTCGGAGATTTTTTTGTTTCTTTGGTTTTCAGAAGGCGCATACTTTACTGTGTAAACGGACAATACTTGGAAATTGCTGACAACGGTCACGTGAGAGGTACAAGTGACAAGCGCAGTCCATACGGTAATGGGGAGATATAGCATTTAGAGAGCTTAAGCAACCGCGGAGAAGGCGGAACGAGAACTTGCGTCGAAAAAGCTGAAATTGGTCATATGAGCGATACAACAACACTACACGTGCCCCGCACGTGCGTCACACTTTTCGATACATTTCCCTCACATCCACTGAATGACTACAACTGGAAACTTCCTAAAACGACGTTTTGTAGAGAACGTGAACACACGTAGCCTCCCACGCAGGCGTTTTTAGGGGAGCTCGTTTGTGGGGAGGGATGAAAAACGAGCTCCCCTAAAAACGCCTGCGTGGGAGACTAGAACACACGACGATGAATTTTCCTTTCTCTGTTTCAAAGAACGCAAATTCATTTTTCTCGTTAGGTTCACACGGCCGTTATAGTCGTGGTTGCTTACGCTAGACTACAACGACAATGTCAGAGAAATGCCAAGTTTTATGAGCAAAACAACCACTCTGAACGTGCATCACTTCTTTCGGTATATTAATTTACCGTCATCTTTCGTAACAAAGACGTGAAGAGAGAAAGCGAAAGAGCACTTAAATGTGTGTAATGCAACTTATTTAACTGAGATAAATTCAAGCATTATTTAATGGAAACCCATGTCCCCTACCTGGGCAGGGGGAGGGGGGTACTCGCAATATTGGCCTTTACTGGGGCACCTTTTCAGACTTTAAGTTTATGAAAGGGTAGGGATTTGAGTTGCTGAAATATATGAAAGGGTTGGGAAATCTGTCATTGCAGTCTATGAAAGACCCAAAAGGGCTGACAGATAGAAATTATGGCTGTGAAAAAGTGGAGAAAACGTTCTGGTTTTGTGCCTTATTTATATTTTATCGACAGTGCATTTACAGCAGTGAGAGCGATTTTCGTATGACTTTGAAAAATGGTTTCGATAGGTGTTCATTATTTGTTTTATCAGCCAATGGATGAAAAGATCAAAACATGGACTCTTTGTTTTCCCGCCAAAGAAAACCCTATTACGGAGAAGGTATCGTTCGATTGGCCAATCGTGTTGCAGTATAACGTCAAAGCAAAGTATCAATTGATTTCAAGAAAGTTCTCGGGCATGATTTTTTTTCACCCGAGCGTTCGCTTAACCAACCAAAAGCCACGCGCGTTTGTCAGATCTGTTCGATAAACCAATCAAATCGCACTATTTCCGTTCGTTTGTTGTTTCTGCTTTGTTCGCGCGTTTTCATTTCAACTATACGAAAATCGCTCTAAAAGAATGCAAAATTTTAAACTAGGTGTGTGAAAGGGGTACCATTTTTCAATAGATGGTACCTTTTCTTTCAAGAATGGTGTGTAAAAGGCTAAGGGGTTGAATTTCGGGGCGGAGCCTCCCCGTACAAAACTTTGTTACGTACCCACCGGGGTCTCCTATGAGGGTCTCAATGGGGTTAACCGATAGCCGTAAAACGGCCAAAAATTTAGTCGATAGCCGTAAAAATTGAAAAATTTTAACCGTTAGCCGTAAATAGAGTAAAAAAGAGTTAACCGTAAAAGAAATTGTTCCCTAGATTTGCCACTTTTAAGGGAGTTACAAAACTCACTTATGGTTGCGTTTTTTATTTCCCGGCTAGTGAGACTCCGTACGCACGTTAGGCGAAGCGCCTTTTAGGTGTTGACCAAGACCTAGGCTCCATTCAGTCCATTTCCTCCACTCTCTCGGGGAACTAATTTTTTCCATAGCGAAAGTGTGGCTTCTTGCTGGGGATTAATATTTGCTATTTTCAGGAGGTCTTGCCCTCAAAACACTAGTGAAACAACACGCAGAGATGTCACTGTTTGTAAAACACGTTGCCGATAAACAACATTTCCCTGTTTTTCTCGGACGCTACGGTAGACATTGCCGTCCCTGTACGGCGTCTTCCCACGCAGTCTCGGTCAAGGCATTTCGGTGGCGAACTCGCTAGGACCACGTGACGCGAAACGCATTAGCCGCGCGGAATAATGAGGCCTACGGACAAGGCAACGGTAGACAGTCGTTCCGTACAGTCCTTCGCTATCATTAAAAACACCGGACACGGGAATTTTGTTATTGGCCGTTTTCACGCTAGAGCTAGAGATGGATTATCCGTCTGAGACTAGCCTGTGTAAAGTAGCGCCCTCCTCACAGACGTACACCCCTTCTCCGATTTTTTCTGAGGGGAGGGGGCGGCTGTACACAGGCTATCTGGAACGGATAATCCCGTCTTGAAACTGTCCGTCGAAATTGACGGATAAAGTCAGGCGGATTGTTCATTCAAAATTAAAACTATTCCATTTTCAAATTACGAAGTATTACCTACCTGACGCGAATCATCAAACGGATAACCCGTCTCACACGAGTAATCCGTCTCTAGTATGAAAACGGCCATTTCTGTTATAATGAATGTCGCGCCCCGGCCTTGAGTTGGGCGTTTGCGTGTCCGCTTTTGCTTTTTCACAAAGATTATTTTTAAATTGACTATTGACATTTCTATGTACAAAATAATATTAGAAGTGAAATACTTCATAAAAAGAATGATCTATCAAATATTAAAATTTTTCAAAAGAATAGTTTGTTTCATCCCGAGATGATCTGAAGACCTTATTTGAGGGTCTGGATGGGGCTAACTGACAACTGACAAATGGCCAAAATTTTAACTGACAACTGACAAATAGACGAAAATTTAACTGACTACTGACATTTGCCTTGGGTTTTACTGACAAAACCCAAAGGACCTGATTGTCCGGCCTTTGTTTCTACACCCGTTTTTAAGACCTTAAATAGCATTGTTCCACTCTTTTCATCAGACAATGTGATCAAATGTGCGTTTTTAGGGGTAATCTTAGCAGCAAGACGCTTAAGTGTCATACTTCGTCAATGATTTTACTGTAAAACCCATGTGTGTCATGTATCATCTGTTGTAAATGACCTATGATCTCCAATTTACGCTCCTCTGAATGGCTGATCAGAATGAGGGATTTGTGAGTCAGGCGTGAGAAATTGTCCTTGATGCGTGAGATCGTTGTCTTTAGTCCATAGTCGTAAGACTCACGCATAATGCGTATACAATATTGTGATGTTATAAATTTTGATTGGCTTAATGATTGGCTGCTATGTTGGACTCTGGCAGCAAAAACGTTTGAGTGGAGGAGAGTAACACAAGACTTGGGAAAAAGGAGGGCCACTTGAAATGCTTACAATAGCAAAACTGATTAAAAATTAAGGTACTATTGCATCAGTTTTGGAATTTAATGTTTAATGTACATTATATGTGCCTTTTAAGCCAAATGTTGCATTAAAAATATCCAAATAAGTTTCATAGTTAATCATTAATAACCATTTAACTGACAACTGACAAAAAGCCCAACATTTAACTGACACCTGACAAATGGCCGAAATTTTAACCGACAACTGACATTTGTACCTCCCCCCCATCCAGACCCTCTTATTTCGATTTAAAGATACAAAAAATACAGGTTAAATAATATTTAACTTTTTGAAACTAAAGAAGTTAATTTTTAACTTTTTTGTTAACCGTAACTGAAAAAAATTAACCGATAGCCGTAAAATAGCCAAAATTTTAGCCGATAACCGTAAAAGCTACCACCCCATTGAGACCCTCTCCTATAGCCCATGGTTGGGGTTGAAAGAAGGAATTCTGGGAAGGGTGTGATCTGCACATAACTCAACGTCATATGCCTTTTGTTTGATTGTTTAGCCGTGCTAGAACTTGCGCCAGTAGCAAGAGACCTCATCCACATAAAAGGTGTTCACACTGGATTCTATCTCGCAGTAAACAAACATGGCCACGTTTACACCACGGTACGTTTTACGGTTAAAATGTTCTCCGCTTTCGAGGGCAGAGATAAGAAAGGGATTCTCTCTAACTTTCAAGCTTGAGGGCTGAACCCAAATCAGTTCTTCTTTTCATTATTTCACAAAATGTAATTTGGGGTTTTGAGTACTTAGGATTATAAAGGGTGTAAATCCAGGAGGGAAAAATATCTACAGACCAGTAGGGTCCGCTAGGTGTCCTATGGGGTTTTCCGTGAAGACAAAGTTTACCCTAAAATTGATTTTAACGGTAAAGCATTGTTTGCATGGTAGCCACTCGAAAAAGAGGGAGAGGGGGAAAAAATCAATTCGCAATGTCACGCACCCGTAGTGTCCTACAACCTCCTAACAGTCTATTGTAAGTAGGTTTGATTCTCAGAGAATTTACCATTGGTCGTGTTTTCGTAAGTATTGTGTTAACTCGATTTAACGCCGCCCCCAATCAGAAGAATGCAACCTTTTCTTCGAAGATTATAGGGAAAAATCTCGGTACAACTTAGACTACGAGCAGTCTCTCTTGTTTCTTAGTCCCCCCGGGCGGATCACGCGAGACACACAAATGACCGTGCGCGTGCACTTCCCTAGTCTCCCTCGCAGCCGTTTTTGGATGTCACGCAACGCTCCCCTAAAAGGGAGAGCGTTGCGTGACATCCAAAAAACGGCTACGAGGGAGAGTAGTACTTCCCTTGCTAAATCTGAAAAAAAGAGAGAGACTATTCGCAGTCGAGGTACAACTTGGCAATTGACACTATCCAGACAATTACAAAAAAGCGAGACACGGGAAATTTAAACATCTTTCTGTTTTACATAATTTTCACAAATGATTCATCGTAATTGTCTCAGTGATTTACAGTGCGACTCCTCGAACCGGGGCACTTGGAAGAAGATTGTCCAATCAGGGATTTCTGAAAACGAAAGATTCTCAAGTTTTTTGGCAGACGGACCAATAAAATTCAAGATTCATCTATGCAACCGTTGAAATCTTCAAAACCGTTTGAACTAATCTGACCTCTCAGGAAGCAGCCCTCAAATAAATGAACGTTATTGGCCAGCTTGCCTACTACCGTAAAAATCTTTTGTTCTTAGAAATCGTTGTGATTGGACCATCTTCTTCCAAGTGCCCTGGTTAGAGCAGTCGCACTGTAAGAGATGTGATTTTCAAATAAACGCCGCATCGGGAACACTAAAAAATCTTATAAACGCTCCGGCTCTTCATCGGTAATTACGTTTTCCGTTTAGTCCTTTTTTATGTCTTAAGTCATGAATTTTGAGTCAGCTGGACATTCTGTACCCGCCGATTTCAGGGTGCCAGTTAGCGACGGTGTTTTCAGTTAAACTTTTGTTTTTTTTTTCGTGTCTCGAACAGGAAACGATAAACGAAGAATGTATCTTCAGGGAAAAGTTGACAAGAAACTTTTACGACAAATACTGTTCATACAAACACAGTCAAAAGGATCTGGCACTAGGGGTAATGAGGACCGGGGCAGCAGTCATCGCCTCAAAAATGACGGGCTCATACAAAGAATACGAAAATCAATTTATTACAAAGAAACTCTTTTAATCTTTTTCATTTACAAGGTAATTCTTTATGGTGTAAGTTATTCCTTTTTACACGAAATTTTAAAGTTTTGTTCCACTGTCTTTATTATTACATGTTATTACTCCGTTTAGGAGATTCTGCTATCGAGTCAGTGCTCTATTACGTCCATAAGAGCTTAAGCTATAATATCATGAAACCTACTTTATACAGTAAAAGACTCGCTGGAGTAGTTACCAACCATTACGTAACCATTTTCTGAGAAGATGACCACACCATAAAGGTCTATTTTCCACACAAATTGAACAGAGCCATATCTCCACTAGCACAGAAGCCGTATGTGCAAGGGTCCAACTTATACCCTCCAGACTGTGGAAAAAAGAAACATGTTATTCGTGTTAAGAATCGAAAGAAACTAAGGCAGTGCTAAGGCCATGTTCACGCTATACACGATAATTTTTCGTGCCGACACGCTATAGTATGAACACATATCCAATTTGTAAACCCTCCACTTAAGAGATCGGTGGGGGAAGAATCGCGTCGATACAGAAATCGGGACGAACTCACCCTTCATTAGCCTCCCTAGGCTGCTTACCAGGCCCCCGTTCTTTCTTGCACCCACTACTTCCAAGCGCCTGCTACGCAGACTATAGCCTCCTACGCAGACGTTCGTGACGCGTTTCCCCCTCATTGGTGGGGCAGAGGAATGCGTGACGAACACCTAAGAAAGTCTGCGTAGGAGGCTAACCGATCTAAGTGTAAACAGGAGCCTTATCTGGCATGGTCTTTGCGCCGGCGCAAAAGCCATCTATTATAGTGTGAACAAAGCCCAAGAAAATAATAACCGAGGAGGCTGATCTTTGTAATGAAAAACATCACGCAGAATGGGGGGATTTTGGCGAGGGTGTCTCACGAAAATCGCCATCTTAAAATACCTATAGTGTATAGCTGCTACCCACAATCTTTTCTTGTAGAAGCGCATTCCTCCTTTTCGCCATTCTTCTGGTGTTGACTTAACAGCAAACATGTTTTAACATGTTTAACTGGTTAAAACCAGTAGACCTGTTCTATTTCCAGATCGAATTGGAATTTGGAAATGTTGGCTTTTGAAGAGAGGGAAAACCGGAGTTCTCAAAAAAACCTCTTGGACCGAAGTAGAGATCCAACAACAAACTCGAGCCACATATGACTTCGACGCAGGATTTGAACCCAGGCCACATTGGTGGGCGCGAGTGCTCTCATCACTGCGCCATTCTTGCTCCCCACGGGAGATAGCAAGGGCGGATTGGACTTACCTTATATTTCTTTCCTTTGTAAATGCAACCACAATTGCTGTTAGCCTCACATTCCCCTTGCGTGTTCAAAACCTTGCCTCGTTTACAGAAGCAACCTTCCTTGCACTGACCGGCGCAAGATCCTGAACGGTTGTCACATGTCTTTTCACAGCCGCATGAATTATATTCTTTTCCTTTTCTCTTACAGTATTCCTCTAAAATAAAAAAGCAAAATCGTGATGCCACAAGTAGTAATAAACTATTCTCTGAACAAACTCTCATGTGGGGTACAAGACAAAAAGAAAGCTAGAAAGCACGAGCAGACATCACCAGTGGACAAAAAAGATTGTGTCACAAGGACAAGAAAACAGGGGGAAAAGAAAAAGGAAACTGGCGAGGACAGCTTCAATAATGCGGTGCTTTGAGTACATGCTCCCAGAAACTAAGTATTTACCACTTGTATGGCAATATTCTTAGCCTGTTCACAGACTTTTTCCTTTCTCCTTATCCCCCCCCAGCCCCCCGCGAAAATTTGGGGCCCCGTGAACGAGGCTAGCGCGCAATTTTTGCTTTCATACGCGCTTTCGACGATCTCTACTGTGAGAATAGAGGGTTTGTGAACGAACGAAAAGAAAAAAAAAAGGTACCTTTGCAAATCTCGCAGCATTCTCCTTCAGGTATTATGGTCTTTCTAGACGCGCAGTTGGTTTTTGGGCAGGAAGGAGGAGAACAATTGGATTGACCGTCCTGAAACAGCGAATATCGTCATGATCTTATTAACTCTGTACTGACGACTTGTTCATGCTCATAATGACAGGGAAAAAGGGGTAGAACGTAAGAAAGAGAAAGAGACCGTCTCTTTGGCAAGGAAGAATAGAAAGGAAAGGAAAAAGATAAAACAAATCAATGCATAAAAGAAAGAACGAACGAAAGATCTAAGTAAAGAAAGAAAGAAAAAAGAAAGAAATATCGAGGGGTGGCTGCATCTTAAGAAAATACTTTCGCAAAAACAGAAAACTAACAAAGCGTGCTCCCTTCGCTTTTTCAACAAGTTCATGAAAATTCATGATTTACATTAGCTCATCAACCATTTTACCTATGTTAAAGATGATCTTACTATTGAAAGAGAACTGAATGTACCTGCCTGGTCAGACAAAGGTGAGCATGCGCAATTAAAGGCGTTTTATTACCTGACAGCGGCAAGTGTAACAGGTGTTATTGGACATTTTCCAGGTCTCGTCCTGGAGATACTGCTGTCCATCGTCTGCGCAGACTTTACACGTGTAAGTACAGGTCGCATGTCCAGACTGAAAACACACCAAAAAAAATAAATAAAGAGACTGTGGACAGGCTCAATTAGTTCATAAAAAAAACGAAATATTTTTAATTGTATTTATACCAAGAGAGATTGTCGTTGTTGTAATCAAAGCAACAACTTTGGCCAATCACGGTACACACAGATGATAAAATGAACCAATCAGATCTTCAAGCAAATACATGCATCAGCTGCCAAGCGCGGGAAAACACCTGCCAGAAAGTCGAGGCCAAATTAAAATAATTTGGCGCGTGCTTGTTTTGAGTCAATCAAAACCCACCCTGAAATCCGCACTATAGTGCGCACTCTCACCTCGCATTTACAAACGGTGCAGTTGTTTTTGGTCCATCGAGCTCCGTCGTCATACCTAAGGCCGTCCATCACACATTTCTTTTGCTGTAACGCGTCAGAACATTTGCACTGCATTGGAACAAACAGCAGCATGGTTGGTTGAGAGTCTCAAAAGAGTTTAGCACGTACAGACTGCAGTACAGCAGTATTTTACCATGGTCAAAACGCGAGCTGTGAGGGTGAAAAATAAATAGGTAGGAGGGAGCCATTCTGCCGGCCCTTCGCGTTTTACGAGGAGCGGTTAAACCGAGTGATTTGTAGTCTTTTGTTAGCTGTAAAACGGCTAAAAAATTGGAAAACTGTTTGTAAAAGGTTTGCTTTGTCACAGTTTGAAAGGAATCCTCGTGTCCAGTTAGCCCCCCATGCAGACGTTGTTAGGGGTTCGTCACGCGTTCCTGCCCCACTGACGTACCCCTTAGACCGTCTGCGTGGGGGGCTATGTGTCGAGTCCGATGCCTAGAGGATTTGAAAGATAACAGCTTTTTTGCTTAACCAGTTTTAATAAAATCCTTCGAAATGAAACGACCTTTTATGGATTGGATCGGTTTTATATCAATTTGTTGTTGAAAAGTTGCCAAGGAAGGCAAAAGTTGCCCTAGGTTGCTGGTACTACAAAGAGTTGCTCAAAACGCTAAAAGTTGCTCAAAAGTTGCCGAGCACAATCTATTTATGCCTATTGGCAAGGAAGAAAAGAAAGGAAAGGTAAAAGATGAAATAAATCAATGTATAAAAGAAAGAACGAACGAAAGATCTAAGTAAAGAAGGAGAGAAAAAAGAAAGATATAACGACGGGGTAGCTGCATCTTAAAAAAATACTTTCGCAAAAACAGAAAACTAACAATGGGTGCTCTCTTCGATTTTTCAATAAGTTCATGAAAATTCATGATTTACATTAGCTCATCAACCATTTTACCTATGTTAACGATGATCTTAATATAGGAAAGAGAACTGAATATACCTGCCTGGTCAGACAAAGGCGTGCACACGCAATTAAAGGCGTTTTATTACCTGACAGCGGCAAGTGTAACAGGTGTTATTGGACATTTTCCAGGTCTCGTCCTGGAGATACTGCTGTCCATCGTCTACGCAGACTTTACACGTGTAAGCACAGGTCGCATGTCCAGACTGAAAACACACCAAAAAAATTAAGTAGTTAGTTAATCAAATAAGTAAATAAATAGAGACTGTGGACAGGCTCAATAAGTTCATTAAAAAACGAAAAATTTTAAATTGTATTTCTACAAAGAGAGATTGTTGTTGTTGTTGTAATCAAAGTAACAACTTTGGCCAATCACGGTACACACAGATGATAAAATGAGCCAATCAGATCTCCAAGCATGCATATACATGCAGCAGCTGCCAAGCGCGGGAAAACACCTGCCAGCAAGTCGTGGCCAAATTAAAACAATTTGGCGCGTGCTTGTTTTGAGTCAATCAAAACCCACCCTGAAATCCGCTCTATAATGCGCACTCTCACCTCGCATTTACAAACGGTGCAGTTGTTTTTGGTCCATCGAGCTCCGTCGTCATACCTAAGGCCGTCCATCACGCATTTCTTTTGCTGTAACGCGTCAGAACATTTGCACTGCATTGGAACAAACAGCAGCATGGTTGGTTGAGAGTCTCAAAAGAGTTTAGCACGTACAGGCTGCAGTACAGCAGTATTTTACCATGGTCAAAATGCGAGCTGTGCGGGTGAAAAATAAATAGGGAGGAGGGAGCCATTCTGCCGGCCCTTCGCGTTTTACGAGGAGCGGTTAAACCGAGTGATTTGTAGTCTTCTGTTAGTTGTAAAACGGCTAAAAAATTGGAAAACTGTTTGTAAAAGGTTTGCTTTGTTACAGTTTGAAAGGAATCCTCGTGTCCAGTTAGCGCCCCATGCAGACGTTGTTAGGGGTTCGTCACGCGTTCCTGCCCCACTGACGTACCCCTTAGACCGTCTGCGTGGGGGGCTATGTGTCGAGTCCGATGCCTAGAGGATTTGAAAGATAACAGCTTTTTTGCTTCAGTATAAGGGAGTGTCAAAAGACTTCAGTTAACATTTTGTGAAAAGATTTCAGTTACGATTTGCATCCTTCAGTGGT